AGAATTTGTTGATATGAAAATGGGAGGAAGGCCAGGTGAGCTTTCAGAACCCCCAGGGTGAGGCAAAGGTGGATGTCATCTGAAACACTGATCCTAAGAGAGGAGTTGTACTGGTGCCCGGAGGAGGTTCATCTGATCTAAGTAAAATCCATCTGCCAAGGTAGAGGGTCAGTGGCCTTGAGATTTACACATGGGGGGGGTCCTACAGCAAAATGATGACAGTCAAAGCCTGCCCCTGGTCAGGGCCCAACAGCTTGATTTCTGGGAGCATCTGTCTCACAGGCCAGCATCCTCTCAGCTAAGAGGAACAAAACTACAGACAACACCAAGTTCAACCACAGGCATTTCTTTGATTCTGCCCAAAAACCAAAGAAACCCAGAAAATTCTGCTAACACAGGGGTAGGAGATAGAAGAGGCCTCCACCCTTTGCCTCTGGTTCAAAGGAAAGCGGAGAACATGTATACTTTTAATTTTAGTTTATGTGTATGGATGTTTTGCCTGTATTGATGTTTGTGAACATGCCTGGTACCTGCAGAGGCCACAAGACAGCATCAGATCTGCTGGAGCTGGGGTCACAGACAGTTGTGAACTGCTGTGTGGTTGCTGGGAACGGAACCCAGGTCCTCTGGAGAATAGCAGGTGCTCTTAGCTGCTGTAACATCTCTCCAGACCCCAGGGACATGTTTTGGCTTATTCAAGCTTTCATTATTTTCCCTATTTTTTCTTTCTCCTTCTCTCTCTTTTGTTCTTTGGGTTGAATCCAGGGCCTCATGGATGCTGGGCAAATACTCTACCATTAAGTTGCATCCCATTTCTTTTTGTTTTTGAGTGCTAGGTAGCACAGAGTGGGAAAAAGCTAGTTAAACTGTCAGAAGCTTAATTATAGGCTTGGAAATTCTAGAACCCCACACTGATACAGCTTTTGCCTATTGGACCCAATGCTATTCTCCACTTTTTTTCTTGAAACCCCTCTCCGAGGTGCTGAACTGGCTGGAGGGGGTGGGGGATAGGGGGTGGGGCTAACATCCTACTCTGGTAAGTCCCAGTACTTACTTCATCTCTAATGAATATGAATGGGGGCTTCTTCTTTGGACACCCACAGGTGCTCTCTCCAATGCCCTTCACCATTCCCCGATATCCTTCTCCCTCCGTCCCTTCGTCCCTCCTCTCCTCCCCCTCCCCCTCTGGGGAGGCCAGCTGTGGTGATTACTACCTCTGGCTCTGACCTTCTTGTTTCCGGCTTCCTCTAGTTCCTTTCTTGCCTCCTGATAATTTCCTTCCACAGCTTTTTGGCCAGATCAGCTGGAGTTAAAACAATCTACATTGTTTAAGAAGGTGACTCTTCTACAAAAGGGTCAGCACCAAAATAGAATCTGGGAATCCCCCCGGTGGGCGGGCTGACGAGACCTGTGCACCCAGAAGGCATCTTGGGAAAGTGGTGACAATTGAGTACTGGGAGATGCACAATTGGGAGGGTCACCTTTGTGCCAACCAGGAAGGTCTTTATGGATGAGGGGTGGTCAGCTCATGAGATTTATCCTGTGTGTTGCAATCCTTGTGTAACAACCTCCAGGCTTTGGGGTCCAGAGGCTGGGACCTTGGTCATTCCTGCTCAGAACTGACACTACTGAGCCCCCAAGCCGAAGTAATGACTCCTACTTGCTAAGGGACCAGATGTGTGTGTTTCCTTGGGGGACATTCTTTGGACAGTTTAGGATGGGCTTAGAGATGTCTCCAAGCAGAGTAGCTTACTCTCACTGTTCTAGGAAGGCCTAATTTACTCCCATTGACAAGGTCCGGAATTCCCAGTGGTAGGCTTGTCTGAGCTGTTGCCTTCTACAAGAAATTTGGGTGCTCAGTTGAAATGGATCTTTGTCCTTTGCTTGTTTGACTCATAGCCTTGGGCAAGCATGTGGCTGCTGTCCTGGCTAGGCCTGCCAATAGGTTTGCTCTCCCATAGAACTGTGTCCAGTGGTGGGCAATGGAACTGGTCACAGTGACACATCTGTGGAGGTCTTCTTGATCATTCGCCTGGCAAGTGTGCTGTTACAGTACTGTCTGCCTTTTGGCATGTGAGCCCTTCTGCTAGTGTTTCAGTACAGACCTTGGTAGACTCCAGAATGTGCCATACGGGAATACCCAGGCACCTCAGGGCACCCATGTCTAGCCTTACACAGTAATGGGGGAAAGTTCTGGAGAGAAGTGTGAGTGTGTCCATACTGCAGTGAAGCAACCCTTGAGGTCCCTGATTCAATGTGCCACCACCCCAGCCTGTCACGGAGAGCATGGGGTAGGGAATGTCACAACCACTAACAGTGGCACATCTCACAAAGCCTAGAGAGGAGATTCTGCAGGCTGTCAGCTGCCTCCTGGGCCGTGTCAGGCAGAGGGGCTTGAGAGAGATACTGATCAGGCTTTGGTCTAAGCTAAGCAGGGAGGGTAGGGTGGCTGCTGTGACAGGGTTCCATCCTGGTCCTACTGAGGCTTACAGTCTTGAGTATTCTCACTGGAATGCATGACTGGCACAGACTTTACTGAGTCTGTCAAAAGGGCAGGTCCAAACTCTACCCCAGGAGCTCCCTCTTGCCGGGGGGCATGGAGCCCACAGGGACTGCTCTTTGAGAGGAAGGCCCACAGTCCCACTGCCCAATTTTCAGGTTTCTCTTCCTCATGTTTTGAGCCAAGGAGCAGGTCTGGAGTGGACAATGATGATGGTTTTATGCTGTTTGAATGGTCCTCAGGGTCCCAGCGAGCTTATGTGAGGCGGACTGCAGATGCAGGAACAGTGTGGGAGGGAACATAAGCTTCTCTCACTCCAAAGGGGTCATTCTCATGCTGCTGGGACAGGGGCATCACCAGCTATGTCCCCAACAACCAGGGATGCCTAGTGAAGGTTGAGTTACAGACCTGCTTTGTTTTGGGAATTCTGGGGGAGTGAATCTTTTCTACAGAAATAAAACCACATGGCACTGTGCTTGTCTATAGAAGGGTGTTTATTGTTTGCCAGATAAGAACAATCTGAAGGTCTATCAACAAGGAAATTATTAAGTCAGTCACAGCACATCTCTACTGTGGATATTTCACAGTCATCTAGAAGGACATGTTGACTAGTTAGATGCTGATCCAGAGAGTTTAATGACAATCTATTAAGTCAGGAAGGCAACTGCAGAGAAGCAAATATTATACACATGATTGCAGTATTTTAAAGGTTGGAATGAAACAAAATAAAACCCTTGCTTTTTTTACATTTAAACACAGTAAAGGGGTACAGGTCTCAAACTAGGGTAGAAGGAGGAGGTGGGGCTGGAGAAACAAGAAAACAAAAGTCATTTTAAAATGGACAGAAAGCAATAAATGAGGTTAAGCAAAACTTTAAGGTATCCAGCACCCTGGATTAGGGTTACAAATTTCCACAATTGCAAATGAGTAAAGGACTGGAGAGTCAGCAGAAGGGAAAGCAGCAGCCATGTAACTAGTTGTGAAAGTGCAGCCTCCTTTCACTCTGTTTCGAGCAGTTCTGCAACACCACACGCACACACACACACTCACACACACACACTCACACACATGTACATGCACACAGACACACAGTCACACACACAGTCACAAACACAGAGTCACACACATACCACACACACACACACACACCACACCACACACATATACATGCACACAGGCACACACACAGTCACAAACACAGAGTCACACACACAGAGTCACACACACATGCACACACTCACACAGCCACACACACACATATACATGCACACAGACACACACACACAGTCACACACACAGTCACAAACACAGAGTCACACACACAGAGTCACACACACATGCACACACTCACACAGCCACACACACACATATACATGCACACAGACACACACACACAGTCACACACATAGTCACAAACACAGAGTCACACATACAGAGCCACACACACATGCACACATTCATACATACAGTCACACACACAGGCACACACAGTCTTTCTCTCTCTCACACACACACATACACACTTTAACTTGGTAACACTTGGAAGGGATAAGAAAACAATGGCTGGTGAAATTGTTCATGTTGTCAAGTCACCACTAGAATAATTTAGAAGTGCCTTAGGGGGCTCTGTTCTTAACGGGAAACCAGTAAACTCTTGGTCAAGCCAAAGCTAGACTTGAATATCCTCATTCTGATTTGTAAGAGAAAGGATGTCTCAGCTAAAAAAATAAATAGGCAAAATTTGCAGTCAAATCACTATGAATGTTCATTTGCTGTCACAGTTAGGTCCGCTGGGTGTGACAACCAACTATCAGAGAACACAGTAACCATGGAGCATGGACTGTGTCCTGTCTAAGCATTCTCTCATCAGAATGAGGTTGGTTGCCAACAGCAGCTTTGTGCGCCCACCCTGTTAATTAAGCCTTGAGCCAGGAGCTGAAACATCAACATCACTATCTAAGAACCATTCTTTCTTTATTGCCTGATATTTAAAATGGCATGCGAGGAAGAAACTGTGTGTTCTGGGCTTATCCGTGCTCTCTGGTTTAGGATAAGTAGACAATGGGAGCCAAGGAGGCGTGTCGTGCTGGCAAGCAGTGTGCCACAGCGGGCTGGTGTCTCTGCACTGTCTGACCAGTGGGGAAAGGTCCCGGGGAAGGCTGTGTGTCCTTGGGCTGCCTGCCTCATGCCCCTTACCGTGTGAAGCCTCCCAGAGGTGTCCTTGAGAAGAACTGATGGCAGTGGGAACGCAGCACATGAGGTGCTGTTATCAGCACGCATGCTCTGAAATGCTGCAGATGAACCCTTTGACAGCACACGTGTGTCCTCCCCCACCCCATCCCGCAGATGCCGTTCCTCTTAAAAGATAATACACCCAGATACTGCCCAGCAACTCCTGGGGACCCTGAAAGGGAGGAGGGCCTGCGGGAGGATCTTAAAGGGTTAAGTAATAGTCATATTTTAATATATATATTTAAGCTCAAAGAGTGGTAGAACAGTGTACCAATTCTCGTGATGACAGAGTCTTTATTGGTCTCTCAAAGATGCCAGTCTCAGGCTTTTTGGCCAGTAATTGTATTTTTTGAGTAATAATTGATTCACCAAGAATAACCCTTGCCAAAGTGGGTTCGAAAAGCAGTAGTGATTGCGGAGAGCACTGTACAAAGGGAACATATTTAAAGATGCTTACAGGATACACAAGACCACGTGTACAGGTCCGGGGAACATCTGGGCTTGGTGGCATGCCTGCAATCCCAGCATTCAGGAGGCTAAAAGAATGTGAGTTTGAGGCCAACCTGGGCTATATAGATTCCCATCTAGAAAAACAAAACAGATAAATGAAAAACAAAGATGCAAACATGTCATTTACAAGGGGTTTCTTAACTTTGCAGATCGTTGCAGGGACCAGCACAGCAAACACCAGTCCTTGTGGAAGAGAATCTAGACACCACAAACACATCCTGTCCTGATGTTGCTCTCTGGGAAGCAAGTGGCAAATTTCCCTACAATGTCATTTCTGAACCTCTGTCTGGTGGAGTGTCTGCTTGAGTTGAACGTCTTTGTAATGTTTTAGCCTCACTGGAAGGTGTCAAGATGCATAGTCCTTGCTCAGGGATGCCCACTTCCTTCAGGGGGGGACTTCCACTCCACACACAGGCCTGGGCTTGCACCTGGGAATCCTGCCGTGATCATGAGCAGTTCTGGGCTACATGGAACAGGAAACCTGAGGGGAGACAGAACAGGGGAATCCCAGCTCTGCTGCTTCCTGTCTGTACCTGAGGGCGACTTCAGCGATGCGAACCTCAGTTTCCTGGCCACCTCCATTAGCTGGGGGAATCAGGTGCTGTGTACAGCAGTTTGCGAGTTCTTTGGTTGGTCTATCACCTAGAATAGCTGTAAAAGTGGGAACAAGACGGTTCCGCCAGGGAGAGGTATGGGGGCACTGAAACACCTTATTAAACTCATGCTGGGAAGGAGAGTACTTGGAAGGGACTTTTGAAGTGCCATGAATCACTACACCTTGGTACCTTCAGGACACTGGGGGTTAGAGAGGGAGAGCTGGGGTACCTCTGTCCACCTTTGCCGGCTGGCTCACCTCTGTGGCTGCCAACCTTGTTGTTGTTTATTTTACAATGAACCAAATGAAACCCAGCAGGCAGACCATTGCTGGCTGGTCCACAGTGACCCGCAGTGCACCTCCCCTTTCCAACCAGTATTCGCAATGCTTGGTGGAGCAGATCTCTTTGATCAGCCGCCAGAGGACTCGCTGGTGGAGCTTGTTATCCGGCTTCTCCCGGGAGAACTCAGCCTGGTTGGCCGCCTGGGTGGTGTTGATGCAGCTGGCCACCAGCACCTCCTTGGTCACATTGGCGTCAGAGCAGCCTTCGTAGTAGATCCCATCCGGGAACTGCCAGTAGTTGGTGGCGTAGTACCTGTTGCCCTCTGCTCCAAAATCGATGTCCAGCTTCCGGCCTTGCTTGATGAAAGCTCCTGGGCGGTTCTCAGCCATGCGGGCTTCGGTCATCTGGTCGCTGCTGGACATGGCTTTCCGGTTCCACTTGAACCTGTGCTTTATGCCCCTCGCCTTGACCATGGAGAGGTGGCTGGCAAGCAGCATGCAGAGGATGACCAGTCCCCATGTGCCCAGACGGTTCTTCATGGTGTGAGAATCTGCAAGGGAAACACTGGGTCGTCACAGACCTTGGGCTCCCACCCTCCAAGAGTGGACAGATTTTAAAGGAAGCCTCAGTTCATAAGGATGCCTCTCTCGTGCACAGTCCTAGGGCAGCTTCACTACCAGCTTTGTTTTCCCCGGGACTACTCCACTTGGTCTGCTCTCCACTGTGTGGGGTCCGATGGGAAGCTGCAAGCTGTCATTAGAAAGTTGTTGGCCATGATCGGAAACAGACGCACAACGAAGGCAGCTTTCCCTTGCGTTGCCCGCGTCCTTCAGGTGAACACGCCCTGGGAGGTAAGAGTTGGAGCCAAAGGGCCTGATCTAGGCTGTGTTTTTGGTCTTTCTTATTTCCTATTGCCCCGAGTCCGCACTGCCCCAGACACAGTCCGCTGTCCACTCTAAGACACTGACTGCTGAGAGGAGGAGGCCATGCTGGAGGGGAGGGGGAATGGCCACGCAGCCAGGGGTCCCCGTCTCCTGGATCACCATCACAATGTGCTTGTGTTGTTGGTAGCTTTGCCAATGTCACCTAGGGGCCAATGTGTACCCTCTGCTCATCCTAATAGCCTTTAGTCACACACGTATTACATGGCAGCTACTACCTCAAACCCTTCTGTGACACGATCTAATTCGCACAAGGAAAAAGAACTTTTATTGGATTTTTATTAAAAGTTGTTCTGGGGCTGGGTGGTGGCGGCCCATGCCTTTAATCCCAGCACTCGGGAGGCAGAGGCAGGTGGATCTCTGTGAGTTCAAGACCAGCTTGGTCTACAAGAGCTAGCTCAAGGACAGCCTCCAAAGTCACAGAGAAACCCTGTCTTGAAACCCCCCCTCCAAAAAAAGAAGCTGTTCTGGGATTCAGAGATATCAAGTAATTTGCTCTGAGCTGCACTGTAGTAGGTGGACAACTCGAATTCAACATTGATTCTGAGAGCACATACCATTAACGGTCCCACTGCCTATGAGGAGGTCAGGGGTCGGTGCTGCTAATGTTTTGTGTTGCTGGGGCATGACAGGTCCTAAGCTAACAGAAATCAGGGCCCTTGAAGGATTTCATGAGACATTAGAGTAGTGGTTCTCAACCCTCTGGGGTCACATGTCGTATATACTGCATATCATTTATTTACATTACATTTCATAACTGGCAACATTACAGTTATGAAGTCACAACAAAATCATTTGATTGTTGAGGGTCACCACGGCACGAGCAACCGTATTGAAGGGTCACAGCATTAGAAAGTTTGAGAACCACTGCATTAGAGGAAAGGGATGTTAGCAAGCCTTGGGAGACAGCCAAGATTGTCCCAGGGTCCCAAGAGCTGCTGATCTCAGGGAATTTCCCGGCCCTCATCATCACCAGTTGTATCGGCTCTGACATCTTGCTCCTGAAGCTAGCCACTGTGGAAATCCACCCTGAAGGCCAACACCAGAGTGCCCCAGCACCAGGTCCTTTATCTGTGTTGACCAGGGACATAGATTCCTAAAGCACAGTGGGTCAGTGCAGCCACCTAGATGAAGATTTACTGTGGGTCCCTCATAGCAGCATGCCTCCACTGTTCTCCGCAGCATTGCCAGACAGACTCGATGCTCCTGTTACAGTGTGTAACTCTGGGGTAGCACTGGTGCCTATTTTACAAACAAAAACCAAAACAAGACCCAAGTCTATCCCAGCCTAAGAGCACACCCTGTCAATTCTGGGGGATGCAGGGGGACCTCACTGTCCCATCCTCGTGGGCACTGCCTGTCTTTGCCCCTGGGTGGGTAAAGTACCCAGTCCCTGGCACCTCCCACATCAATCACAATGAACTCGAACCAACTTTTCCGCAAAGAGGTCCAAGTATGAAGTAAGTATGCATTGGTCTCTCAAATAGGGGCCATGTCCCCATGTTATCAGGCCGTATCATGGTAGGAGAAATCTTAAATAAGAGTAATATCATGGAAGATGTCCAAGAGTGAGGATTTTTTTTAAATGAAAGCACAGATTTCTTGAGAAAGGACTCAGTATTCACGGATAAGGGCTTAAGATCAGAAACGAAATTCCCGCCAGTTAGTCCTGAACTAGCATTTCCCAGTAGCATCGGAGCATAGGAATGCAGGGGTACCTAGGCAGAGGCAAGCATAGCTTCCCTGCCTGGGACCGGCGGCAGGGAGGGAAGTCACAAGCCACTGCTTGGTCTGGGAAACCCCTGCCACATACCTCGGTTCTCTGCTACTGTGACCTCTGGAGCCTGGAGCCTGCCCTTCTCCGGAACACTTTCCCCAGGCCACCACTCAGCTATATAGGCACTGCGGGGGGGCGGGGGAGGGGCGGGGGAGGGGCGGGGGGGGCACTACCGCCCTCCAAACAGGGCAGCTCGTCCCTCCGTGGCAGGACCAATCAAGGGCTCCCGGGTCACTCCTCCATCCTGGAAGCTTCTCGCTATTCTTCACTGATGAAACCACGTGAAGATCTTGAGGTTAAAAAAGATTTGAGAACAGTATTCAGAACTACAGCTTGGGTGGCTTCCATTGCCCGCAGGCATGGGGGCTTAAGGAAGCCTTGCTGGACACCTCTGTTGCCCTGCCCTTTAGACAAGCCTCCAGCGGCAAGGCTGCCTCTAAGGGAAGGGAGAATTAAGAAGGACTGGCATTTGCCTGTCCCCAACACCCTTTTTCTGGAACCCATAAAGGTGGAAGAGTTGCTAGGCTTCTCCTGGTTAGGTGGGAAAGCAGGACTGAGTGAGTGTGGAGACAAACTTGAGGACTTCCCAGAACTTTGGGCCATTTGGGGTCCCTGGAGATACTTGAGGGCCAAGGTTAGCCCCAAGGCCAATAGGTTACAGACTTGTGAGAACCGGGGAGGTAGAGTTAGATGAAGCAGAAACCAACCATGCACAGATGATTTCCCTGAAAATGCATTCCTTCGAGGTCCTTAACAGAACGTCAGGTAGTGAGGAGGAGGAGGGGCTAGAATCATGCCTGCACCCCATGGGCGGAGGCTCTCAGGTACGGGTGGCTGTCCCAAGGCCTTAAACACTGGGACTTTCCGGCGTGTTCCTGTTATGATCACTACGGAAAAGCAAAATTAAAAGTGAGTTCTGTAGGTGAAGACAGGCAAGATTGCCTGTAAAACAATGCAGTCCCACTGCTGTCCTTACATCTCCAGTTCTCCAACCCGCGGCAAACTAAATTAAGCTGCCTTTCCTGTAATAGCCAGCGGATGGCGCCAGAAGAATGTACAAAGATTTTCAGCTTGGAGTCGAACTCATGCTGCTCCTCACAATTACTGTAGTTGGATTGATGATTTCCAGCTGCATTCCCCCTACCCCTTGCCTTTGTTTGTTTGTTTGACTTTTAAAAATTGTTTTATTTCTTCTTTTAAAAATGTTTTCATTTCTTTGTAGACTTACAAACTTTCTGTGCACGTGAACACACACAACACAACACCCCCATTGTAATTCTTGCATAGATTATTTGTGAAATGCAGAGAAACAGAAACAAACAAACAAAAGACCACTTCTAATATTTTACTATCCAAAGGCAATTATCACTGAGATTTTGTTCATTATATGCATGCGTACGGGCATAATTAGAGTTTGCTGCAGAAGGACCCGGAATCTTCCAGTCTGCCAACTCTGTCTATAACCTCAGATGGGCCCAGAGCCACTAGCCTGGTGACAATGCAGTCTGGTCCTGTGTACTGCCCCGCATCTGCCCACCTCCCTCGGCTCTCTATTCCTTTTCTGAGTAGGGCTTTGGCCGAATATGGTAGGAGGCAACTTCCAAACTGAAGAGACTGCAGATTCCTCTTGATGTGAACAAAGGGCTGTTCTCCCAGGCACAAGACGTGCGGAGGACAGAACATGCTGGAGAAGGAGGAGGAACTCTGGGAGCAGCCAAGGAGACCAGTGTGAGCCAGGCGTGGAGCCTGCAGAGCCAGCCCTGCCTACAGATGGCCTTCCAGCCCTAAAGGATGAGCAAGAGGGAGGATCCCTTACAGGGCAGAGAGACCAGAGCCAAGAGCGTTGTCTCCCCACCGTGATGCGAAGGCCACCAGGGTGTAATGGACCACCCCCATGTCGATGGCACGTATCTTGTGAATGTACAAATATCAGAAATTTAAGTGTGTTGAGAATGTAAGGAGGAAAGGGGGGACTGTAGTATTCATAAATGGGTCTTTATTTGATAAATTCTTCAATTTGATTAAATCTTGAATGAGTTAAGAAGACTTAAAAGTAAATATAGTGACCATCACGACACAACTTTCAATAAACTACTTCAAAAGGCTTCTGTTCCAGAAGATCATTCCTTGCATTCGCACCAAGGAAGAGAATAGAATGGGTTAGTGGAGCCAGGAAGAATGGGAGGGAGGGAGGGAGGGAGGGAGGGAGGCAGAGAGAGAGAGAGAGAGAGAGAGAGAGAGAGAGAGAGAGAGAGCCTCCAAGATGAGATGGGCCTTTAAGAGACCATGAAGGAAGACTCCCTATGAGTGAATTAGTGCCCTTGTAGAGAGGCTGAGAAACCCCTCATTGTTTCTACCATGGGGAACAAGCGAAACATGGCCATCTATGAAGCACGGGGCAGGCGTTTACCTGCTGACACCTCACCTAGAACTTTCTTGTTGTGGTTAACTTTCATTGTCAAATTGATGGGATTGATTAAGCCACCTCTGGGGTGTTTGTGAGAGTATTTCCAGTGCTGATCAGATCCCTAGGGCTCTTACCTCCTGACAGAATTCAGCCTTTGGCAGACTCACAGAAGGTGGAATGATACAAGGCAGACTTAGTTGGAAGAAAAATCCTGGACAGCATCGTCTTGTGTTGGCCACTTCCTGCTTGGCCCTCTTCTCTCTTCCTGTCTACGGTGAGGTGAGGACTCTAGCACCAGAGAATGGAGCTGTGGTATAGCAGCTTCCTCAAACTGAAGCGTCCCCTCCCAGGAATTAGTACTTGGGTACTAAATTGGGTGTGGTGGTGCCTGTCCTTGGGAGGCAGAGGCAAGTGGATCTCTGTGAGTTCGAGGCCATCCTGGTCTACAAAGCGAGTTCCAGGATAGCTAGAGCTGTTACAGAGAAACCCTGTCTTGAAAACCAAAACAAATAAAAAGGCTCAGGAACTAAGCAAAACTTACAAGTCTCAGAAAGCTGAAACCTAAAGGATCCACAAGCTTCTCCCCTCCCACCCTTCTACCCCCAAGGATACACGACTGGCGGGGGACAAGTTACCAGAGGAGCCACCAGCTTTAATCGTGCAGAAACTCCAGGGATGCAGCTACCTGACTGTCACCTTGTCACTGATGCCTCTGGACAGGCTTTGTGGTGACGCAGCTTCCTTGCAGTCAGTCCTGTGTGCTCCTTACTCACATTCCCAGAAGTACCCTCAGTAAACTCTCTGGTGCACTGAGCTAGACTTGAGTGGAGTTGTTTCTTAAGTCTGTCATTCGGGACCTCTGTGTTATGGTAGACACTGGTTTGTGCCACCTCAGGAAAAGTCACACAGCACAATTGGCACATGACCAGGGACTGACAAAACCGCAGATGAGTGGAGAAGTGACTTCGTGACGCTAAGAAGAGGTCGAAGCATGCCTAAAACTCACATTTTCTCATCCTGAGTGTGCCAGGAGTTTGACTGCTCCCTGGCCTTACCCCAGGCAGACCCCAGCAAATAGACTTCCCCAAGTGCAGATGTGCCCGGAGACACATAGCAACTGATAAGCTCATATATCTCCAAGGCTACAGGGACTGCCCGATCAGATAAGAAGTCCTTATAAGGACTGGGCTTACAAGGGCTGGACTTCCTATATGACCTTATAAATTCCTTCTCCTGGCTCCTATTGCCCCTGAGTATGCAAATGAAGCACCAGCCAATCACAGACACCACTTGAACCCAACCAACCATTCTTCCTAGGGTATAAATGTCCCTTGCTCCCTCCAAATAAATGAGCTGTCCTCTGACACAGACTCCCAGGTGTTCTTTCTGGTCCTACTGGAAGTCGTTTGGCATCTACCTTTGGCCCCGCCCATGTTAAGTTTCCCCAGTCTGGCCATGGTAGCCAGAAGAAGCAGGGCTCGAGCCGGGCGGCCCTGTATTGGGAAGGAACAGCTGCATGGTCCTTGCACTGGGAACGAGTGCTTGCATGGTCCTGCTTTGTATGCAGCCAAAGCCAATCTGTATGAGATGGAGCCTCCTTGAAGAGCGACCGTGGGAATGTGGGGATGCTCCTTGAGTGTCTGGTGACCTAGAGAACATGCTGTAATCCCGGTAGTATCACATCTGGGATTGAAAGCAGGTGGTAGCACCGGCTGCATGGCTTGTGTTGTGGGTCATGTAAATAAGTCTTTTTTTTCCAGAAGCACTTGCCTGTGTAAGTGGGGAGGGTTTGCAATGGGGAAAAGATGTGTGGATGTACCTACACATTCTTCTCCAATTTGTCAAGGGAAGTAGAAGAAGGGAGGAAATGGAGATGCTGGCACTGTTTCTTATAACTAGCAGGTGCAGTGGCAAGAGAATGCACAGTAGGTCTATGCTAAGGAGCCCTTCCTGGGATCTAAAAACTTGGAGCCTGTGAGAAGGGTTAGATAACAAGAAGGAAAAGAATGAGGTGAAGACGATAAAAGATACCCGTTGGGACTGACCTTTCGTACAAAGGAAGGGGAATATTAACGTCCAGCCTGTGGGTGGAACCTTAATGATGACCCTGTACCAAGACTATGTAATCAGGGATGCTCAGCATCTGAACTGCTTGGGCTGGAAGGACTTTTAAACAAGCTCTGAAAGCATCACACCTTGTTCTGTGAGCCCGAGGGATGTGGGGGTGAATGGGACCCACTGAGTGTCCTGGAAACAAGAAAAGGGGCTATCATGATGATCCAGCCCTCCGTGAGAGAAAGGCTTCATAGCCTGGATCAAAACCAGGGAAACCAGGATCCAATGGACTGGCTATGAGCAACTGGGGACACTTATTATTGCCTAATGAGGTTCCCATGTGTCAGGGGCTGACAGACAAATTCCAGGGGCTGACAGACCATACAAACAGGACAGGCATTGGGGAACTGAGTATGAGAGGGTAGTGGTTCACTAAGCTGGTTATGCTGGATTCACAGGAGAGTTAAGAGAGACAGGGATTCAGAAGGGACCTGGGGAATGGTATGGGTTCTCAAGTGACTTTGCTGAGATCCATGGTGGATTGTGATCATTCCAAGGGATGAGAAGCTTGGTGAACCCGAATAATTTAGCTCACAAATAGATTCGTTAACTGAACTCAGGAGGGGATGAGAGAAGGAC